TTTTCTTTTCTTTTCTTTTTTCTTTTCTTTTCTTCTTTCTTCTTTTTTCTTTTCTTTTCTTTTCTTTTTTCTTTTCTCTTTTCTCTTTTCTTTTCTTCTTTTTCTTTCTTTATCTCCAGAGGGCTTAAGCCAGAAGGGAGAGGGAAAGAAAGCATCTCCCAAAGGGACATAGTCATGCTGCAATTCCCTGTCTTTCATTTCTCTATCCAATCCCACTGGGATTTTGGGCATGCATGCACATTCACCTGGTATGTTTTTCAAGCCAGAAGGGGTGGGATTTGAACCATGGTCAGCCATATGGGATCAGGCTCCTTTAATTACTAGCCTATGGGGCTATCTTCTTCATTTTTTTTTTTTTTTGACTTCTGAGTCAAAGCAAGGGATGAGACAGTCTTAAAAAGAGAGAGAGCAAATAATCTGGTGAGCAAGGGACAGAGGAGATGGGAAAGAGGGAACCAAGAGAATAAATGTAGGAGTTTGTCTCAGAAACGATTTACTGTGTATTCAAACTGCACATTATCAATGAAGCAAAGAGCTATTTATAACATAAATTAACCTTTATTTATATTTTGTATTTGATTAGTTTTTAAATTTGTCAAAAGGGATTTTATGAGATGTATTATTACAGGCCAGATAGATTATGATAAATTTATGAGGAAAATCAGGTGAAGGAGGTTAGAAGAAGTAAGATGAAGTCAGGGACAATGTTAGTTTGCAAAACGAGTTTGGGGCTCTTGCTGGAGGTTAGTCACGATTTGAAAATTGATACATGAGAGTGTTCAAAGCAGTATCTGCATTTTCCCGTTCCCATAGCATCTAGAACAGTGATCAGTATGCCATGACTATTTGGGGAACTATCTTTCCTTTATGGAATAATGCTGCCAATTGTTACAAATTCTCCATATTTGGCTGTTTAGCTGAAAAATGGAAAGAAAAATACAAAATGACTGGACAAAAGATGAATCATACTTACAATTTCATTGTAAGTGGGGTCGGTACATTTTGGAACAGATTTTGTTTTCCTCCTACGGACTTCACTGGGATATGGTAAAAGATAAAATTCAACATGTGCACTGGGCACAGAGCCATCCGGGAGATGCTGCAAAGGAAAATGGTCATAAATATTAATGTGTGTTGCTGTCAAAGAAAACAAATACACAGCTACTAAATATCCAGACCAAAGGCGAGATCAGGATTTATTACAGCCACTCTGTTTATCAGAAAATAGAGAAAAAAAATCAAGAGAAATGGGTTATTGCTCCAAAATAATCCCAGAGTACAGCTTAAAAGAGTAAAATTGTGCATCTTAAATGAAGTGTCATGCCACAAAACTACATTGAAGAAGTCCATGGCATATAATTTACTTTGTTATATTTCATTATATCAATATTATATTTTTTAACAGTAAAAACTACATTTGTGTTTTTGACTGACATGGTCGAGAGAGGACTATTTGCTACAATCAGGGACAGAAACTAAGTGCCTCAGGATACTGTGCACCACTTGAAAATAAAAAATTCAAGCTTAACCCACAAATAGATATAGCATTTAATGACATCGCATTTTAAAGCAGAATTAACTTAGGCTATCAGTTAGACATACAATCTTAATATAGGCAAGAATATAAGATATTAAAATGTTTACGATAATTTTACTGTCTAAATGACTCTAAAATATTTTGGGTACTTCTTATTTTCTAAAGCTTTTTTTTTTTTTTTTTTTTTTTTTTTTTTTTGGGGGAGCGGGAAGAGGGGGGGCGTTTGATAATCATCCATGTTTTGGAATCTGATGTCTTTATGTGGGAAGAGAGAGATGACATTATGAAGTGTCTTTTAGAAAATCAATATCTAAATGTTTTTTTTTTTTTTTTTTTTTTTTTTTTCCTTTGGGAGCGAGAGAAGAGGCAGGGGTCCCAACAGGGTTTTGCCATGTTGAGATCCTTCCCCTAGACTCCCTGCCAGCTATACCACAGGTGAGTCTGTATGTATGTCTGGCATGTTTAGGTCAATCTGGAATCCAAACGTCAGCTCTCCCAGATAACTGTTATTATCCAGCAGTGCCCTATCCTTTTAAAGCTGTGTTCTATGGAGCTCTAAGTTGCTGAAGGAGCTGACTGAACAACAAAACCAAATGGATGGATCTGTGAACCCCCAGACACCAGTTTCTCCCAACTTTCATCCCTCCCTAGACCACCCATTCTGGTTTAAGAACATCTTTCCTTCAAATTGATTATGGATATTTTAATTTCTTAATATATTATTTGATGGATGAATCCATTGTTTCAAAGATTAAGAAACATCCATACCTGAAAGAAATGGATTCTGATCTTGACCAGATAGAGAGCAAATGGTACTAAAACCTCCACTATCTAGTTTGATAAAATGAGAAATATTTGTATACTTCATATGTAAAGAGGATAACTTAAAGTTGAACTTGAGGAAGTATGTGCTTATTTTGTTTACTATATGTTAATACTATTAAATCAGTAATTTTCAGCAAATATATTTTAATGCTCTGAAGCATAGTGATATTCACATGTAATTACCCAGTGCCACTTGTAATTTTATCTTTTCTTAGTACTGATAAAAGCATACTAGGTGACTGACAAGTGGAGTGGTGGTTAAGGTTCCTGGATTCCTACATGGCTGACTCTAATTCAAGTCTCAGACCTGGTGGGTTGCTTTCTCACTTTCCCTCTCTCTTCTTCTCTAGTCAAATTAAATAATAATAATAATAAACAACAAAGTTAAATAGAATAATTTTTAAAAGCATATTGGAAAGCAAGAAAATATACATTATTATATAACTAACATTTAATCAGTTATCATTTTACATGATAAAAGTGATATTATTAGAAAATTGTTACTGGAATAGACACTCTGAATAGAGTTGACTTCCTACACAATATTATTCCAGTACTACCATCTATGGACTCATGGAAAGCCTTTACTATATTAGTATTAGACACAGCATTGCTTCTGATCAATGAACTCACTTTACAACAAAAGAAACATAACAATGGGCCCATGATCATGAAATTCACGGTCTTACCATATCTCCCACCATTGTGGTGCAGTTGACTTCTGAAGAATGGCCTTTGGAGACTTAGTTATTGTGCCAGCTAATTGCACTTCCTTCGTCTTTTGAAGGAATGTTTGTAGCGATGTTCCTCCCATAGCCAGGATTCATGAGTCCCAGAATAAAAGTGTTGAAAGGGGAATGGCATCACTGACTGTCATGCCCAGTAACCCACTAATAAACTCGTGTTTCCTATTTCCACACCTTATCCTTTGCTTAGTCTTCATTCCAGAAAGAGGAATGCTTCTACCAGGAAACACAATAGTTATTCTATTGAACTGAAGCTTAAGACTGATGCCCAGCCACTTTGGGCTCCTTAGGCATCTGAATCAACAGGCAAGTAAGGAAGTTACAGTGCTGGCTGGGGTGATTGATTCAGACTACTAAGGGGAAAATTGGACTGTCACTCCACCATGGAGGTAAGGAAGAATATGGCTGGAGCATAGGTGTCTCAGTATTATTATGCCATGTGATTAAGGCCAATGGGAAGCTGGAAGGACCCTGTACAGGAAGGATTTCTAGTGGTTCAGACACTTTGGAAATGAAGGCTTAGGTTACTGCGTCACATGAAGAACCATAACTAGCAGAGGTACAAGTTGAAGACAAATGGAATACGGAACAGAAGTATGTAGTTATAAATGCCAACTATGACCACATGATCAGTTACAGAAAGTGTAATGGCTATGTCGCTGGACTCCCACGTAGTCAGCCGCGGTTCGCATCCCAGACCCGGTGGATTAAAACTCACGCCGGGTGCATGTGCATGCGTGCCCAAGATCCCGAGAGGAGAATGGAGGAGAAGGGATTGCGGCGTGGCCATCCCCCCTGGGGGGTGATTTCTCGCTTTCTGTCTCTCTGTCTCTCTCTGTCTGTCTGGTGAGCGCATGCGCCCTATAGAGAAAACCTCTCAAAAAAAAACAAAAACAAACAAAAAAAAACCCAAAAAACCACTAAGATTTTATTCCTAAGATTTCATTTAAGTAGTTTCTCTTATCTATTGCAATGTTTCATATTGAAATACCAAGCAATAAAGGGCCTATTGCAGGGTAAAGTGAGCGTATCTTGGTTCCTGCTTGTAGGGCTTGTGCTTACAGTTCACCTTAAACGACTTGGTCTGCTTGTTACATCTTGTGTCTCAATGCTCCATTTTGGAAACTTTGACCTTACCTTTTAGATTTTATTAAGCCATTACATGCTTATTACCCTCCATTTCCCCTTCTTATCCTCAACTGGAAACAGGCAGTATTTGTACATCCTTATTTGTACTCAGTCTCATAATGAATCCTCAGTCACCATCCTCTTCAGTTTCACCTGGAGACTTGATCTCTACTTGTTGTGCTCCCCTATGACATTCCTTATCACATCTCTGAATTTCTGTCCCTTAACTCCTTGAAAATCTCCTGGCCAAATAGCACAGCAGGTTTATTTGAATCTCCTTCTAGGAGCTATGATGACATGACCATTTCTTGGTGTCTCATAGATGGGGGACTGTGAGGTAAAGCTATATCTTTGTACTACATGCTTTGTGCCCTCTCTAATTCCAGTGCAATGTCTCTGTATATTACCGCTCTTTTGTGGAATATAAAAAGAAACAAAAAGAAATAGGCATGCTCCTTTGTTCTGGTGGTATTGACTAAGGCATTCACAACTTAATTGAAGAGGTGGTTATGAAGTCCCCTGGGTGGAGGCAGGGGGCTTCATCCACATTAGCACCAACAATTCCTGATGGGGGAACTAAAATGTCACATAAATATGTGCTACTAGTTTTTCAAATATACAATAGGTACTCAGATGAACATGATTCTAATATTTTCAAAGCATTGCTATGTTTATAGTAGCTTTAAAAATTATTTCATATTTCTTAAATTTACCATATACTTGAAGGTTAATGAGACTTGAGGGTTGTGGTGTTTTTGAAGTTTAAAAGGGGATCTCACTAGTTGAAAAGATTCTAAATAAAACCTTCAGATATTCTTAGAACTCATTAGTAGAGAGATTTCTTTTTAAACTGAAAAGCAAAATATAGTGGATTCTTACCTTGATTATTATGTTAGGTTGCAAAACTTAAAATGTATGCTTGCATATTAGTACTGATTTGTTCATAAAGTTGACTTAATAAATGTACTGTTTTAGGTATACAAAGAATGAAATATATACATTTTTTTGCCTTTCTTTTTTTCCCCAAATTACATACAGCATTTCAAATGATTTTCAATGCTACTACTGTTCTCATAGCCAAAAATGGAAAGTTTTCCCTTTTTTTAGAGGTTTTTGCCTTAGGACACATGTGCTTGCTGGAGAGAGAGATGGGAACCAGCAGTTAGCATAATGGCTATGTTGCTGGACTTCCACGTAGTCGACTGTGGTTTGCGTCCCGGACCTGGTAGCTTAAAACTCACACCGGGCGTGTGTGCGTGCGTGCCCAGGATCCCGAGAGGAGAATGGAGGAGAAGGGATTGTAGCGTGACCATCCCCCCTGGGGGGGTGATTTCTCGCTTTCTGTCTCTCCGTCTCTCTCTGTCTGTCTGGCGAGTGCATGTGCCCTATAGCGAAAAACCTCTCAAAAAAGAGAAAGAGAGAGAGAGAGATACAGTGACAGAAAGAGGGAAAGTGAGAAATCACTCCCCAGAGGAGATGGCCATGCTGCAATCCTGTCTCCCCCTTTCTCCTCCTGGGATCTTGGGCAAGCATGCACATGCATCTGGCTTGACCCTCAAGCCACCGGGTCCAGCATTTGAACCACAGTCGGCCATGTGGGAGTCCAGTGACACAACTGCTACACTATCTGGTGGACCGAAAATGAAAGTATTTTGAAATCATGATTAATTTGTTAGAGCTGAGTTGAAAAAAAAGTAAGCAGTAGTATGTTGGTTCAAAAACAAAGCACAGTTTAAACAGTCTATAAAGTAAATAAAACTATCTAACATTGTAGGGTATGCCCACAGACCCTCAGTATTTTCATATGGAGTATAAAGAAGATATTTTTCATACATAGTAATAATAATAATAGCTACCAAATAA